AGGGATTGTGTTACAGATAATTACAACAGTGGGGCTTTTCGCCCCCATATGCTAACGCTCAGTGGATAGGTCGTCCTTCTGTTGTTGAAAAGAAAGAAAGCTGTAAATAGCTTTAGAACAGCGGTTCGCAACTTTTCGACTAACGCGTACCATTTAAATAAAAACTGAAAAATTTAAGTACCACCGCTACATTTTACAATGATTATTTTTCAATTTTTCAATAGAAATATTAACAATAACTATATTTTGCAATTTTCCCTGTATTAAATACGCATACATAAAAAATATATTAGTCTAAAAATGGGTTACCATTTTTATTATCAAAATTTAAGTTATAATACTTTATTTCTAAAATTTAGTGCTAAATTTAGGCCCGGTTAAGAGAGACAAATTTCTTTGTGCCTGGTCTTATTTCACTTAGTTTCAACCACAAATAAAGATCCACTTTTAGTTTTGATCTGTATTTAATTATAAGGTATTTCTCCCGCTTTCATAGTGTGCCTTCGTGGTGTAGTGGTTCTGCACGCTGGGACGGTATTCCAGAGGTCTGTGGTTCGATTTCCGGCGAAAGCGATTGCTCATTTTTCATCTCTCTGGCTTCGAAATAACCTAATGTCTCTAAAGTGGTGCCCGAACTAAAAGGGATTCAGGATTTGGCGACTGGATCCCCTAAAAACCCCCAATCGCCCTTTAAAAGGGGGAGTATATAAGGTATTTCTCCCGCCTTTGTAGCGTGCCTTCGTGGTGTAGTGGTCAACACACTGAGGCGGTATTCAGAGGTCTGTGGTTCAATTCCCAGCGAAGGCGGTTTGTTATTTTTCATCTTTCCTACTTCCAAAAAAAATCCTAATGTCTCTACATAATTTTTAAATATAACATAGAAGAAAATCCTTGTCCACACAAATAGGTTGAGCAAAAAAGGAATAAAAATTTAATAGCTTTATTTTGAAATGCCTTTAAAGTTATTTTTCGGTTCAGACAAAATTTAACAAGTGTATTATTATTTTCGAAATCTTCAGTTCGAATTCGATCACAGGAAATTTCAATCAATTTTTCTTTTTCTTCACGAAATTTTTCAATTTCATAATTAAAATTACTTTTTCTTTGCCTACCATCGGATGAGAACCCCTGCTCTAGAAGAAAGCCGATATCAGACAAAATAAATACTTTTAAATTACTGATACTATTTTTAAAGTAAACTGAAAAGCGCAATTCAGTTAACCCTCTTTGAATGGAGTATCTCGGACCTGAGTAACAATTGATTCATCCTGGCTTAGAGCCGCACATATATGGTACTTCCCACATATCTGGAAACTTCAAGAAAAGTCGATAATACTAATTAGGAGCATTTCCATTCATATCTTCTATTCTAGTTGAGCTATCTTAATAATGTAATCGTTGAAATCATAACTCAAAAATCAACAATTCTACCCGAGAAACTAACACTTCACAGAAACTGTTATAGAAATTTCGCTTCTAGAATCTGGAATTAAGCTATGTTAGTGATCTTTTTGATTGGAAAAGGATATGTCACAAATACTTTACCATATCGAACTCTATTTTATAGACAAATTCTTATGGTCAGCTTAAGATAATTGAGACATTCCTATTTTATAGAGAAATTCTTATGGTCAGCTTAAGATAATGGAGACATTCCTATTTTATAAACAAATTCTTATGGTCAGCTTAAGAGAATAGAGACATTCCTATTTTATAGACAAATTCTTATGGTCAGCTTAAGATAATGGAGACATTCCTATTTTATAGAGAAATTCTTATGGTCAGCTTAAGATAATGGAGACATTCCTATTTTATAGAGAAATTCTTATGGTCAGCTTAAGATAATGGAGACATTCCTATTTTATAGACAAATTCTTATGGTCAGATTAAGAGAATGGAGAAATTACTATTTTATAGACAAATTCTTATGGTAAGCTTAAAAGAATGGAGAAATTCCTATTTTATAGACAAATTCTTATGGTCAGCTTAAGAGAATGGAGAAATTCCTATTTTATAGACAAATTCTTATGGTCAGCTTAAAAGAATGGAGAAATTCCTACTTTAGGGACAAATTCTTATCGTCAGCTTAAGAAAATGGAGAAATTCCTATTTGATAGATAAGTTCTTATGCTCAGCTTAACCCTTTGCGGCACAGTGTGTCCGGTCTGGGCACACCTAAAATTTTCCTTCTATACGCACAGAAAAATTGAATGAAAAAGGATTTATAGGTTACTATAGGTTACTCTGAACCTTCTTTATTTATAGTAGATGGCAGCTCAACACAAACCATATATTTTATTTTAGCCATGTTTAGTTTTTTAAGACCCTCATTTTTCAAAGAAATCTTCCAGATTTTTTTAGGGTATAAGAAGAATTGTTTGAAAAAAAATTTCTAAGTTATTTTTTTTGGCTGTATGCTAATCTCCTTATCTATATTAGTTTTAAATTTTTACCTTGAAATTTTGCCTAAAACCAAACGGCGAACCCTAGGTGTGCCCAGACCGGGCTCACCGATAATCTAGGACAACTAAGAGTCTGTATTCTTTGTTTCTCCGCATCTCGTCGGTCTGTTCATTGACAACAATGCTCGTTTCAGCACTCTTTTCGAAGCTCTATTCAATCAGTGCGCCCTCTTCGGGCACACTCACAGAAATAAACGATAAGTGCTATCTTGATAAAATTTTACTTGTGTACTCCTCTAGGCCTATTTAGACTGCCTACTTTTTTTTTTTTTTTTTTTTTTTTTTTTTTTTTTTTTTTAATCAAAACTTCGACTTTAAAAGGTAGCGTGCCGGAAAGGGTTAAGAGAATGGAGAAATTCCTAGAAAGAATTCAACGCGTAATGCCTGAAAAAATTCAATCAATAAAGTGCAGGACAAAACGCCATCAGCCAGTTTTAATTTCGTGAAACAATTTCTAGCAAAGAAAAGTGTCACCATTTTCAATCCCTCCTCTATTTACCAGATTTGGTACAAGTTCTTCATTAAAGAAAAGTTTTCCCGAAGGTAATTATTTTAATAGCGCTAAAGAGATTTAGAAAATCCTAACTATACACTAAGTAGTATTCCAAAAGATGAGTTCTATAAAGGAATCAAGCATTTTCAACGATTACGTATTAAAGATAAAAAAAGTAAAGTTTTTATTTTTTATTTATTTACTTTTGTTGTGAGTGTACGTGAACTAACTTTGTTTAAAAATTTTTAGACGCACTACTTTTGTTTTTACTTTTGAATTTGAGTTTGAAAATGAAAGTATCGGAGATATATATTCTAAAGTAAGCATTCCGTTTAGTTGTGTTCTTAGTGAACAACTTATATTTAAAAGATGATTTATTAATTTATTTTGTTTATGAAGATTCTTTTGGCTCTTTTTAATTGAGTACTATTCGTGATTTATGATTTGGCTCTTGCAGAAATATAACTTGATGCTTGCTTGGAAGAAAGAAGAAACGCTCTCAATTTAGCTGTTGTTAATTGATAATAGATTGGTTTATTCCCCTTGATAAGTCGATTAATCTGCGATCAATGACAATACCTACTCTTTCAATACTTAAAAGTTTTACTTTTGATTTTGGTATTTTTGCGTTTAAGGATTTTTCTTTACAAATTTTTATTTTTTAAAGCAACAGATATCAGAAAATACTAATTGAAATTACTGATTAAAATACCGATTAACAAATTAATTACTTTTTTAATATTCATGGTTTTAATTGAATTTCTGTTCCTTGGAGATGGTATATAAAAAGTTTTCTAATTATATTATTGGTTTATATATATATATTTATATACTGTATGTATATATATACAGTATATATAGCCTTTGAAATTTACACTGATTAAAGAATCAAATTATGAAGTATAATTTTTTAGGTTTGGTAATATTCTGTGTGGTGTGTAACTAAAAATAAAATCGTGAGGTTGCTAACAATAGCAAATTTTAAATAAAAAATCATGGCAATTAAATTTTATCATTCGAGTATATGTCATTCGCTTCTACTGTTTCTAAGAATATGTTACTATCCAAATACATTTCCTATATTTAGACTTCAGAATTTTACATTTAATTGCGTATGTCCAAGAATATTGTAATATTTTTAAAAAAACATTATTCTTCAAAGTCTTCCAGTTTATTCGATGATTGAAACAAATTACATTCAACTCATTTCAATTTCTGTTAGTTTTACATATCGGATCTCATCTAAAATTGTAGGAATTGTTGAAAAGAAAAACTAAATATCTTGGAAACGAAGGGTTTGATCTTCTAGTCGTTAGCTAAATGTGTTACCACAAGAACATGCCCTGAGGAATGCAATATTTCTTTACATTTTACCAATTTTAAAGGTCACTTTAGTAGAAGCACAAGGTCTAGTCGACCAAATTCTGGTGACGACAAGTGATCATTTACCACCACCAGAGTCCAATTACATTTTGGTAACCCAGCAAATAGGAGAAACCAACTGCGCTCTCACCGGGAATCGAACCATGGATTTTCCAGCTGCCACCAGAACGTGCTAACCACTCACACAACAAGAACAAGCACGGAAGAATGCGCTAATTGCTAACATTGTGCTCCCACTTACAAAGCGATTGAAGAGGAGCACGTGAACAAGTGTACCAAACCGAAGTTGCGAAGACGTATCCTCTTTAGGTCATGCGTTTTAATTAGGGCGCCATTATACGGCATTATTTGGCTTTCCATAGCCAACAAATATGAATAATCAGCTGTGTCTTCTCCAGGATTTGAGCCGCATATCTTCCGATTTCCTACCCGGGTATGCTAACCACTTTTAGGACAAAAGCACGCTCGGGGAAATATGACAATTCCTTACAACATTGGATTTATTTTGAATATTACCAATTGTTCTACTGAATGTGCCTTTATTAAACTTTTCTGTAAGATTTTTATAAAGTTCTTTTATGTCTATTTTAAATGATAAGTCATTTTTTCGTCTAGCATTGTGAATAATATTTACTTCTCTTTAATTCTATTTGCAGAAGTAAAGCACAGCAATATGGCAAATTTGATCCAGTACCCCACTGCTAACATTTCTGAAATTTCATCCACAAACTGGAATAGAACAGCTTCAAACACCAGCGAATATGAGACCGCCTCCAGCGTGCTAGGCCCTGAGTACCACCGACAAATGAGAGTATTCCTTCTGACTGTTATGATAGCCACTTCTCTCTTGGGAAATACGATTATGTGTTTCCACATCAAACAAAGTCGAAGGAGGAATCAGCGTATCCAGCTGCTGTTTATCAACCTTGCTGTAGCAGACCTGCTTGTGACCTGCTTCACCATGACGTCTCAGCTTGTCTGGGAATGCATGGGAAAAGAATGGATAGCTGGAGCTGCTTTCTGCTCCATTTTCAAGGTGTTGCAGACCTTCACTATGGTTTGCTCTAATTACCTCATCGTGACAATTGCTTTGGACAGACATACAGCAATTGTGTACCCATTGAAAAGGAGACCCAACACTCGATGCTACATCATCATAGCCTGGTTAGGCTCTCTTATACCATCTCTTCCAAATGCCTACGTATTTCACCAATATACCGATCCTTCTGGAAAAAGATTCTGTGTTGCCAAATTCTACACAGCTGAACTCTCTCTCAGGACGCGGCAAATGTACATGGGATTCATATTTCTGTATTTATTTTACCCATATGCATCATCGTAGGCCTTTATGTTAGGATTCTGTACGTGCTTTGGACAAGAAGTCGAGCTTTTCCCGGGCATGTAACATCCGCAGATTCTGCAGCCTCCAACAGCATTCCAAATGAATTCAGCGGAACCCACTCGCACTTTCCAAGAGCCAAAATAAAAACCTTGAAGATGACTCTGGCTGTAGTAGTTACTTTCCTGGCCACATCTTTACCATACTTAGTACAGGAGATGATTATAGCATTTGGAGATCCATCCATTTTGAATGAGAATGTTGTGGCAATGGCTGGTATCTTTTCGGCATCGAACAGTACTGTTAATCCATACATATATTTACTGTTCAACGCAAACGCTGCAATTGCAAAGCGAGTCACTAACAAGATGTGCAGTTGCTGCCTTCCTGCACATGCCAGAGGCGAATCTAGAGGAGAAACGAGCAGCAACGTATGAAAAAGTTTACAGATGCATACAAGATATTGATTGAATTTTGAACTATTTGGTTGTTAGAAAGGACATTAAAGTAAATTTCTGAGTGGGAAAACATCATACATTCTAATCTTGGTGCTTATATACTGCTATCATTACGTTTATCACTAGAAGCGGATAAGCAATTAAATGGTTTGTTGCCAATGGTAACCAACGGATATTCAATTCCTTATGTCTCATTGAAATTGCCTATATGTAATTATTTAAACCTATTAACATATTTTGGTGCTTCATTTAACAAATTATGTGTTCAAATTTCTAATCAAATACAAATTTATTGAAGCTTTCTCAATCTTGCTTTGGCCTTTTGTTGCATCTGAGGACTTTTTTTATGCAAATTTTAATACAATTAATGCAAATCACATAGTAATCAAGCATGCAATGTCATGCGTCACCAAGGAATCATCCTTGAATTGTACGCCAGATTATTTAGATATATGATTATTTATGTTTACATTCTTAAAAGGAAGTTTTGGTCCTGCTATTTTCGAGCTAGATTCTAATGATATAAGTAATTAAGATATTAACCATTCCTTGAAACCTCTTTTAAAATATCAATAAGAAATTCTTCATTTGAGTTAAGAATAATTAATTAATTTCTCTGTGAACTCTGCGTAGAAGATAGTCAAAGAGGACATATTTTATAGACCTTAGCATTATATTGTCAGGGACATTTTTGTTTTGTTTTGTTATAGTATGCTTCATACTGTTGAGTGCGCACGGGTTCGTAGATTGAATGTACACAGTTCCGATGATAAGTTGATAAAATTTATTTAAATTCTGGAACGTTCGCAAAAATAGTGTCACAACTCTTCACAGTAAAATCAGTAGTTACACTCCAAACTACTATATTGAATTTTCACCCGGCTACCAAGAACTGTCTAGTATTCCTCGAAATTAATGGAAGGCATTATAAGGGCCGGCTACTCATCAAATTTGCAGGCCTTTGACTATTTCTCGCCAAATTTGGCTATAAAAATTATCCGTCAAAACCGTTGCCAGCTTGGCGACATCTCGCCAAATTAACGAGATAGCCATTTACTCAATGTTAAATAGACTTGCACCTGTAATTTTATTTTTCCGGCAGAGTATCGTCTCTCTATATTTTCATAGAGAGACAGAAACATTATACAGAAAAATACGAAAATTTTACATATAATTTCATTAAAATTATCCAATATGCAAAAAAAAAAAAAAAAAAAAAAAAAAAAAAAAGCTTAAAAATACTTTTGTTATTTTACTTTTATCGTATTTTTTGTAATTCCAGTTTTTCACATTCCTACTACATATGCTATTGATAGCTACATATGCCATAATTTTTGTCGGTTGTCGCTTTCACGTGTATTTTGAAATCTTTAAGTCCTACATCGCTTAAATATTCTTCTGAAGATATCAAATATTCTTTGTTTTTCTTTAGAATTCTCAATTTCAATAAAACCCTCGGATAAATCTTCAAAGCATTCGTCTTGTAAAAACGTAATTTTCCTCACTTGACTATTATCATTCATTAAATTATTTACTGAAAAATTAAAAACTGAAAAGCCTGATCCTCAACTATGAAACTCTAAACTGGTAAAGCGGCCTTTGTCCCTGCTTTACATACAGCACCAACTTGGAGATACCAGTATTCATTAACCAGCTTCACACAAGATACCAGTGCGGAAATGCCAACTTTCATCCTCCACTTTAACCATGACATGCACATTGTGCCACTTGACGTCAAAACGTTCTTATTTTTACCCTCATGGACTCTCGAATATTTCATTTTCGAACCTTTTTCCTTCAGGTGCCTTGCAAAACCTTCTAAAGCTTTAGAGTGCCTGTTCAGCTGAATATCTAACCATCTGAGCCAGGACTCCCACTCACTTATTTTAAAAGAAACTTATATTGAAACATAAATAAAACCAGAAAACAACTAGTTTTTATTGCAGTATAGCAACAAAAATGAGATTAAAAAATATCTTTCAATTCAAATATCTTTCAATTAAATGTAATCATAATTTTCATCCCATTCAGTTCTCTCACATATGTCTTTGAAATTTCTTCATTTTTTTTCAAACTTTCTTCGCATCTTTAATGATAAGTTCCTTGCATAATTACTTTTACCAATTTTTAATTCAGGGTTTCAATATGTAGCAATTTTGATTAGATCTATTTATCGTCAGTTTTGCCCCTTTAGTAGTCTTTTGTAATTTTCAGTTTAAGTGAGTTTGCGGCTTTTGGTTTTATATGGTTTACTTGGGAGAAGTTTCTACGCTAACCGAAGATCGAAATAAAATAGTTAAACTGGTCGCAAAGTTGTATGAAATTATTATTCAGAATTATTAAAGGCCATCTTTCACAGTGCGTAACAAATACCAAAATTCAGGTATGATTTTGTAAGAGATACCCAAATCTTGATTTAAATGAAATCATTTCCATTCATCATATAGATCTAATTTGTCTTCATAAAAAATGTCAGGGAATTTTATTGCTAAATGTTAATTGAGGATGAGGATTTTGGCATGATTTTGTACCACTACTAGGTCATGAACATTGAGAGTGGCAATAATTTCAACATGATTTAAAAGAAATATGTTTTCAATTTGAGTATTAAGTTCAACAATAAATTTTAAACAATCATTTTTAAATCCTTTTTCACTGTCACCATTTGATGGTGAATTTAATAAGGCCATGCAACGGCCTCCTGAATATATTTTATTCATAGATTTAAGATTTATTCCATTGCTTGGATCAATTTGAGGGAACTTTCACGAAGAAATGACTTTAAAAAATAAGAATATTTTTATATTAAACTAAAACCATTGAATGAAACAAGTAAAATCTGAAATCCTCAGATGTAAATTCAATATTCAGACAGCTTATTTTATCGAACATATATTCGAAAAACAACAACATATGCTTAGTTCCTTTGGTGATAATAGTGTTGCTAATATTCTATTCATCCCTTTTGTGCATTTTTGATTGAGACTGAAAACAAATAACTAAGGTATCCCATTGCTCAACAATAAGTACCACTGGGCAATAATCTTTATTACATATCTACAATCGACCCAGCCGTAAAGTCATTGACATAGGTTAGATTCCGTAGTTCGACGTAGATAAGATTCAAGAAGAATGGTCAGCTTGCGTGGGCATTTTTGCGGTTTTCCCGATATGTTACGAACCAGTCTCTCGCATGAAATCCTCACGAAGACATTCCTTCTCTTAGGCAGATGGTCTTAGCGTGATCTACCATAGTAAATGTACAAAATAAATGGTGAAATTCCTGGTGCTCCTCCTAATTATACCTGTACCTGTCCCTTGGATGAATCACGTGGTACAGTCATGTGCCGGGAATCTGTCAGAGGATATGACAGAGAAAAGGGTTGGAAGGCGGTAAGATGTGCGAATCATCGATGTTCTAAAAGAAACCAGAGCAATATCTGAATTAGAACATAGAGAGATGTCTTTAATTTATGACATATATATGCCAGAGCTGAGATTCTTAAATTGCCCGTACGAAATAGCAATAATTATTTTCCAAAAGATTGCAAAAACCTCTTGAGTTTAAATGTAAACTGATTTTCTGCGAGTTATTAGCGGTAGTAAAACTTCATGATCTTTGTTTTAGAATTAACGATACAGAAATGTTAACTATTTTGTTTTACTTTATTGTTACCTTTTGAGTACTTATTTTGAGTTTAATTAGCATAAGTTGGGAAAGAAGAAAGCACGCTATAATTTAACTTTAACAGGGATTTTGAGGTTAATTCTATATGTCTCGAAAAGTTGCATTTCGGAAACCTTACTGAAATTGCCACGCTTTTCAGCTGTTTATATTTTTCAGTAAACATTCATCGCAATCTCTTCATTTGAGTGAAATCTAGATTTTCAGCTTCATGCTGTTGTGCAGTATACTCTCAACTTCATTCATTACCTGTCACATTCTACGTCGTTTTTTTCATCTGCTTCTCCTCACTCTCAGCTTCAACAACACACAAATTTCTTTGGGCATGATTTAGTTTGCTCTGCTATTAATAATGTGATTATAAGATGGTGTTTTTTGCATCTATCTTTAATCAACTCCTATGTAACATCCGAGATCATTGGGCATCGAAACAAAGTATGAACAGATGCTATGAAAACATTGTTAATGCTTGCAATCTAAATAACACAAAGCGAAGGAAGGGAATTCTAACATATATTTCTTTTATAGTTCGAATAGCAGTTATGGATATTGTCCTAAATATCAGCTATTATAACATTTAAGAACTATTCAGTAAATTAAGAATCAAGTTTACAAATTTAAAATTAGTCCAGAAGGCATGATTCGGAATGCTCAGTGTAGTGGAAAATACTGCAAGCATTGCCATGACAATTAACATACTTGCAGATGTTGGTATTTAGAAAAAGCAAGACATACGTAGTATGTCTACCAAATGCACGAATACCTTCGTGGAGTACGTTGTAACAGAAATTGATCTGTATTAGTATTCCACTTGGGAAGTGCAGTCGAACAACTAGGCAACAGGCTTAGATTGTCAGTACTGATATTCCTTCTAAATGCCTTTAGAAACATAACTGGAGTCCTGGGTAGTAACAAGGAGCTTACACAAAAACTATGTTCGTGCGTGTGTGTAGAAGATACAACAAAATAAGAAGGGTTAAATTTACCCTTTATTTATCACAGCGTGCAGCCGCTCCCGCACTTCGGGATACAGAGATCAGCACTACGTTTTAGACAAGGTCTAAAACGTAGAAAACAAGAAATAAACTTGTATGATTCTCTACTGTGTATCTTAAGTTACAGTTGAATGTGAAGCATCTTAAGAACTAATAAGCGAATAATCTCTGGTTCTCTCTGACTAAGACAGTAGAACTTCACGGTTAAATACCGCTCTTCCTCAATTTGCATTCAGGCGTGATTCTAAAATTACGTTTTGGCCGGAAACGGTAAGTTGAAATTAAGAGGCGATTGGATAAGAAGTTGAACTCAAAGTTTAACTGTTAATAAATTTAACATAATCCTTACAAACTAACTAAATAAGAACTAAACTTAGATACTTTACAGAGACTGGTCACGCGAAGATTGGCCTTTTGACACTACGTATGTAGTGAGCGAAATGCAAAACTACAATACGTCTTCCAGTATTATCAGGGACAAAGTTCTGGCCTTAAAAGCAGACATCAACTGACTGAAAAACACCACGCGAGTGGTAAGGCAGAAATGAGTCTCTCTCTTCTCTTGCCTAAAAGCCACACCTTAAATACCTAGCAAAGTTTTAACATAAAAAATAAACATTAGTAAAACTTAAAATCCTTATAAGATATGCTAAATCTGAAACGAAACTACATACGTTTCATGCTTTAGCAACTTGTGATTGCATCTAATGAGCTATGTTAATTAAGCTTGTTCCGTTATTAACTCGTTTAGCTAAACATAAAAATGCGTGTAGGGTATCAGAAATGTCATCGCTGTTGATATTACGACAGACTCTGTGAGTTCGATGAACCTGGATCGCCAAGTCACTTATAACTATTTATCTCTGTGGCACGAGCGGTGCAAATGTGAAAGTCCAGCTATAAGTAAAACAACGAAATAATGCATTTATATCCACCAGACGTTATAAAAAATTTTCAGAAATGTAGTATCTGCTGTTGGAAAAAACTGTTTGAAACATTTTATCTAAAAACTTTCGTAAAAGGAATTCTTAGTTCAGAAAGGAGAAGAATTTTTTCTGTGGTGCTGAAAGAAGCTAACAAAACACCAAATGTGTTCTTGTCAGGAAACTTGTACAGATTTCTTCTTTTCTATCTAGATGTATCATCTTTTATGTGTGTTATGCAAACACTGCTTTTATTCGATATATATCTTGCAAAAATTTTGTAATTTTTGGATGGCTGTATTTTGTGTGCAAGATCAAAATGTACTCTTGTATTTATATATAAATGTGAAAATTCTCAGATATTGCATTCTCTATTCGAATATTTTATACAAAATTTGTGTAAATATTTTAGATGTGTACACTTGTTTATTATAGACACATTTCTTTATCCTGCAAAAATATTTAAGATTTTGTCGTCTGTAACTGAAATGTAAAAATAATTGTTTCTTATATCGTGATCAAAATTTCTGATTTTGCGTTTTAATGGAATTTTAAGCTTGTATTTTGCAAACAATTAATTTCTTAAATTGATGTAAATGAAATAATAAATCTGAAAATTTGTCCTTATTATGTCTTTAGTCTTCAATAATTAATAAAGATTAACATTCTTTTTTAAATTCCTACACTTAGCTCACACTCTTCCTATATCTAGTTCAATTAATTTGAAATTTTATTAACTCAAATCGTTAATAAAATACTTTTTATTCATCCACTCAAGTTCAAATACATTTTTTAAACTTGTAGTGGATGACAATTACATACAGTTTTTTCATAAATTAAATTTTTTAATTAAATTTTTTGTTTAATTTTTTTTTGGAGTGTGTATTTTTAATATATATATATATAATTTTTTTTTTTCATTTTAAAAATTTTTCTTTTTTGACCTACGTAGGAATTGACTTTAAAAAAGTTTATTTAATTAATTATTAATTAACTAATTTTCAATCGTTAATAAAATACTTTTTACTCATCCACTTAAGTTCAAATTCCTTATTTTAAACTTGTAGTGGATGACACTTGATTTTAATACCAGTTTTTTCACATATTAAAATTTTTTAATTTTTAATTAATTAATTTTTTTAAACCTAAGTAGGAATTGACTTTAAAATTTTTTTATATTACTTGTTTCAAATTGTCTCACATTTTTCCCATAAATTAAACAAGCCTTTCTTGTCTTAACTGTTTAAACATAGTTCAATCTAAACCACATTTATTGTAAAAATTTTGAAAATCTCATCAACAAAATATTGGTTTGGGTAACATACCTTCTTCTGTTGACAGTTAATACTAAAGATCATTCCGTTTCAGAGGAATTGGGAGAATGTATTTTATTCAAAGTATTGTCGATCGTTAGCTACGACTTTTCCCCATCTTTTAGGTAGCATACGGGTTCAGCGTTTAAAAAATTCCTCGTCTTTTGAGGCGATTCAAGAACCGACCCAGTTTTTGGCTTCTTCGTATGAAGTGTGCTGCTCGGGCAAATCATGAGTCAAGTGGAAGTCGGAAGGAACAATGTCTGGTGAATACGGCGAGTGGGGTGGGACATCCCATTGAAGCGCCTCCAGAGTTTCCCTGATAACTGCAGCATATGGGCAAGCGTTATCGTACTGAAAGATCACTTTGTCATGTCTTCCGGCAAATTGGGGGCATTTGAGCTTCACTGGTCTGCTTAGTTGCATCAACTATTGTTTGTAAAGAGGTTATCCCTTCTAGCGACAGTCCCTGCCAGACGGACTTTTCTGAGAAACGAGATTGTGGTAACAGTGGTTTAAACGGGAGGATTCCTAGGGGAAAAAAGTTCCGCTGGTAGCGAAGTCCCGCCTAGCTACGGAAACGATGTAGCGGCTACGCGGGGATTTTTTCAAACCTCACCGAAAATGTCTCGGCTGGAGCTCTGTCCCGGGTAGAGATCAACCAATCAGACGAATGTTCTGCTTCTGAAGGATCACGTGATCCCAATCTGAGCGATAATCGATTACTGTTCGACGTTCAAGTCTTTGTAGTAAGTGGAAATGGTATCCTAGCTACGTGGGTTTCCTGGAAATGTGCGGTTTCTGAGAATTGTCTCTTTCGACGTCCAGTCCCGCGTAGCCGAAACATAAATGTAATTGGGGCATAACATTCCCCAGTGATGGGGCATGAATCTTGGTCCAATAACCCCTGCAACTCAGCGTCTTCAAACTTTAGTGGCCTTCCTTCGCGTTCTTTGTCGCTGGCGTCAAAATCGCCACTTTTAAAGCGCCGGAACCAGTACTCACATGTTTTTGGCATGTTCTCTATATGTTTCACACAGCAGTCGATGCCCATCAGCTGCAGTTTTCTTCAAATTAAAACAAAAAAAGGAACGCTTTCCGCAAATTTTGTTTTGTTGGTAGAAACGTGGATTGAGCATAAAGAAAGTTTGTTATTGACACTTCAGCGAAATGGAACAGACTGACTTTTAGACGGAAAGACTATAGTTACAAGGTTGTCCAATAGGATTTAATACTAGTAACGCCATCTTATGTAAATCTCTCAAAACTTATTTGTACACCCAATATGTACATTTTTTTCGAAAACAATAGCAGTTTCCGTTAAATGCCTAAAACTGTTAAGAACGAAAAAACACACTTTCATTATAAAATGTGATACCAAACAAAGCTAAATTACTGCGTTTAAATGTCACAAAAATAACCAAATATATATATATCGAATTTTGAAGTAACATAATGAGCTTAGGCATTTTAATATTAATCCAAATGTCGAAAAAGGAAAGAAAAATAGATGTTTTAAATAGAATTTGATAGAAAAAAAAACATTTCTGTTCGTCAGATTTCTAAGAAATTGAAGATTTTAAAATCAGTTTTGCATGGAATTAAGGAAGGTCTAGGTTTATACTCTTATACCAAAAACACGATTCTCCAAACCGAGGAAAAAAGCAATGCCTTAAGAAGCGTAAGTAAGTGAGGAGTAAAATAGAACTTACAACAGATAGAGTGAGTAGGAAACAGATAGATTTTGTATGTATTATACTTCTTTCATTTATAAGGTTTCATTTAGTTCTTAACCAGAAGGTTATGTTTAAATTTTATGTTACGTTTCCAATTTTCCTGCCAGAATGTAAACTCGCTTCGCGTTTATTTAACCGTTAGGCTATAACGCGGCGCAAAAGCGCTGTGTTCATTTGTCTCGAAAACTGCGACGCAGTTAGTCATTTTAGAATGCACTCGTGTTACAAAGTATGCGTGAGGTCAGACTAAGTTCACACCCAAGGGCGGTTTTCGAGACAAATGAACGCAGCTGTTTTGCGCCGCGTAGCACTCAAACGGTTAAATAAGGTAGAAAGACAAAGTATTTGAAGGAAGGTTTTAAAGAGTACATGGAATTAAGGAAGAGCATGTTCTGCCTGCTGAAGGCCACGTTACTAATTTGATTCTCTTGAAAGCTGCATTCTACTGCATTTTGTAATCCTCGCCATTAGGCTTGTCATGCCGACTTAGGTCAGAGTCAACTTGCCCGTTTCTTTATCTGTGTTAACCGTGGAGCTAACTTACATTTACTTAATTAAGACAATTATATTACCTTTGTTTTAAGCCACAGATGCTGCCTGTTTTTGTAAGACGAGTAGCGTCTTCTGTTAACTTTTATTTGAGTTAAATAAATAGGTCTTTTACATCGTTTCCCAATCTCTGTGACACCCTATAAGGCATAGTGATAGTCTTAGAAGTTTCTTACATTTGATGATACCAAAAAACACGAGACTTTACATATCAAACTGAGACATCAAAATGAAGTATTTTGTTTTCGCTGATCCTAGCAATTATGTGAAAGATGCTGTCAGCTATTTTAACTATACCAGAAAATTGATTCTGTATTGACATCGAATATTGAACTCAGTGTATCCTTCGCTAAAAGCTGCTTTAGGCGGCTTTAAGCTGCTAAGAACCCAAAGCTTTGGGTCCGTTGAAAGGCAAACATTCAACAAACAAAACAAGGTCTCTTTTTTTCCCCCTTTTTCCGCTTGAAACTAAACTTTGGCGGGTTTTTAGTTCAAACTGGCTCTGTCCCTGAGGGATTATCGTTGCCGTTTTGCGATTTTGCGTTGGTTCACTATAAATGTCCGTTTCACTTTTCAAACTGTTGCCACCCAATGTTAGAGTCCTGCATTATATTTAAAGAAATTAAATAACGAAAAATCTACATAAATGTATGTATGTTTCTCGCATTCTGGTAAAACAACGGTACCTACAGAATGACGGTTTCGAATGACGTAATCCTATATGGGCATCTGAAAGCCCAAGTTTGAGATTTGGAATTTGTTTTATTAGCAATTTCATATTCTGTAAAACTTTAACACATTTTTGATTAACAAACTCAACGATTTAAAAGCGTGCCATGGCAACACTCTACGGGAGAAAAAAAAATTTAAATCCAGCCCGCGGAACTGTGTATCGGAAATTTTAAAGATATGCTCAATTTAAAACTATTTTGCGATATTGCTGTTGAACTGAATTTTATGGTTTCAGTGCGAAGAACGTGATAATTAATAAATAAAGGTAACAGACAAAATGTTAAAAAAACGCCCTTTTGGACGTAATTGAAAATCTGAATTCAGATTTTTTTTTAAAATTATTATTATTATTATTATTATTATTATTTAGATCTAGAAAAATCAAGGCCTTTCACAATGTGTTTTAATAACTACATACGAATAGTTTTTTTCGGAAAGAGCACAAACAATAGCAAACAAATATTTTGCATGAAAATAGAACTGTCATGGAGCATACGATAATTTATACTTTCAAAAATATAGCTGCAATTAAAACAAATTCCAAGCACACGCTTTTTTTAACAGCAAAGCAAAATGGTTTCAAAATGTGCGAATAATCTCTGTATTTGTTGCGAGAGTAGTTTTTCTATACATTAACCATTAAGAAGCATCAAGCGAAATAACATTTTAAAATGCTGGAACTATAGTTTTACTTCAAAAATTAACGTAGGGTTTTTACTTGTTTCCGTGTATGCTATTTTGACATTTTATAAATTTGATTTTTTAGTGTACAGTCAGAGAAGCGGCAAATGTACCGACGCAGACGGTAAAACCTATAATTACACCACTGACTATTTAAATTATATTAACTAAAATTCAGTATATACCATTTAATTTTCCAACGACCTTTGGTGCTGCCATCTCTCGTCCATAAAGAAACATAATTGTATTTTTATTACGTACATGCTAATACACTATTGGATATAAAGTGAAACGCAACAACATTTTTAAGAAAAGTGAATATAAAATGAAATGAGTTAAAGCAAATGATATTATATAGATATTTCAACTGATATTAGAAGCAGAGGGTTAATATCCGTTGCCTTTTATCATGTCGAGGAGCTCTTAAAAATGGAGTTTTCCGAAAATGAAAATATATATTAGAATCAAGTAACGGTGCTTTAGAAATCGACTTAGATCCTTTTACATGCCCTTTAGGGGAATTTACTGAATTTTCATCTTTTTGCACTCTGCCACGCAGGAAATAAGCACAGTCAGTATGCTGAATATATTCTTTGGTCGCTTAAGGGGACAGTGGACGTTCAAATACTTCTTTTTAATTATTGTCATAGAGATATGAAACTTTGCATGCATGCTTATTTTACTATAGTTATACCAAATATCTTTGAAAAAAATTTCTGCCTCATTGCAATTTAATTTTTTTTTTAATCTTTAAAATGTTTTCAAAATTTTCCATGCGAGTTAATTTTTTCCTGTTTCTTGCTTTTTTTCCTTTATTTTTATTAAAAATGCATTATGAACACAACTTAGTATCAATTAGTGAATCGCATAAAATGTTAGTTTTTAATTAATATCTTTTTCTCATATCATATACCTAAATTTTGGACAAAATTTCCCACTTTAATACACTTTAATTGGACTTTTATCCCCTTAATGAATTTGCATTCAAAAATGCATACTAAGTTTCGTTACATGTATAAATACGAATCTAAGTTATAAATTACAATGATTTTGAGCATAAACTAAAGCGCATGGAGCATTTTGAAAATGTAATAATCACGAAAATTTCATTAGGAGAAAAATACATTTCAAGAATATTTTTACGCTTATTACGCTTACCTTTAATATTTACTTCTCAGTATGTCCTAATATATAATTTTATTTAATATAAATTATTTTAACATTAATTTATGTAGCATAAATAATTTTTCTCTTATAAAATCGTAGAATGATCAGAAATACTTAATATTATTTTAGAAATTTTCTCGAACACTTTCAGTAAATTTAACTAAATACTTTTTTTTTAAACTAAGAATCACTTTAAAAACTTCCTGCACCATATCTTTCCTCTTCCTTATTTACATTTTCATTATTTTTAACTACTTTACACAGTTTTTTTTTTTTTTTTTTTTTTTTTTTTGGCAATTCTTCTTTTCTTGTATCCAGACGAACACCTCTTTTTGTATTGGTCTATACCAGGGGTCGGCAACCTGCGGCTCTTTAGTTCCATACGCAAATATTACTTATTTTATCAAAAAAAAAAAAAAAAAAAGAGAGAGAGAGAGAAGAAGAGCATCGAGAATTCAATCGGGATTGGACGCAGTCGTTCGCTTTCATATGCAACTCAAATAGCCTTCCGACTTGTCTCATTTACCTCGAAAAACTCGCACACAATAAGAAATCAAATTTAGAGAGACACTTCACTAAAAAAACATACTCAGTTTGCTAGTAAATATCCAGCCGGCGAAGAACGAAAGAAAGCTGTCGACGAGCTCCAAAAACAAAAACAGCAATCAAGTTCCATGTTAAGTAACTGGACGCAATGTACAAGTAATGTCAATCTGGCAAGCTTCGCGGTATCATTAGAAATTGAAAAAAAAAAAAAAAAAAAAAGCAAACCATTCACAGATGGTGAGTATGTCAAAGATTGCTTCATACGTGCATCTGAAGAACTGTTTTGCGTTTCAAAAACAAACCAGAAGTCTTGAAAAAAATCAAAGATTTGCCACTATCCGCTATAACAGTACAAGATAGAATAGCTAAAATGTCTTCAAATGTAACATATTTGCAGGTGGAAGATATTCAGCTTTCTTCTGCCTTATCACTTGCTATAGATGAGCTTTGCGACATAAAAGACACGGCACAAGTTGCCCTTTTTGTCAGGTATATGTCTTCCCAAGATCCAAAAGCAGAACTTACAGGATTGCTACCGCTCTCGGGACAAAATAGAGGGGAACACATAGCGAATGCCGTGCAAAAATGCCTAGAAGACATTAAGATCGATATTACTTATTTTATCAAAAAAAAAAAAAAAAAAAAAGAGAGAGAGAGAGAAGAAATGAAGAAGAGCATCGAGAATTCAATCGGGATTGGACGCAGTCGTTCGCTTTCATATGCAACTCAAATAGCCTTCCGACTTGTCTCATTTACCTCGAAAAACTCGCACACAATAAGAAATCAAATTTAGAGAGACACTTCACTAAAAAAACATACTCAGTTTGCTAGTAAATATCCAGCCGGCGAAGAACGAAAGAAAGCTGTCGACGAGCTCCAAAAACAAAAACAGCAATCAAGTTCCATGTTAAGTAACTGGACGCAATGTACAAGTAATGTCAATCTGGCAAGCTTCGCGGTATCATTAGAAATTGAAAAAAAAAAAAAAAGGCAAACCATTCACAGATGGTGAGTATATCAAAGATTGCTTCATACGTGCATCTGAAGAACTTTTTTGTATTTCAAAAACAAACCAGAAGTCTTGAAAAAAATCAAGATTTGCCACTATCCTCTATAACAGTACAAGATAGAATAGATAAAATGTCTCAAATGTAACATATTGCAGGTGGAAGATATTCAGCTTTCTTCTGCCTTATCACTTGCTATAGATGAGTCTTGCGACTAAAAGACACGGCACAAGTTGCCCTTTTTGTCAGGTATATGTCTTCCCAAGATCCAAAAGCAGAACTTACAGGATTGCTACCGCTCTCGGGACAAAATAGAGGGGAACACATAGCGAATGCCGTGCAAAAATGCCTAGAAGACAATAAGATCGATATTACTTACTTTATCAAAAAAAAAAAAAAAGAGAGAGAGAGAAGAAGAGCATCGAGAATTCAATCGGGATTGGACGCAGTCGTTCGCTTTCATATGCAACTCAAATAGCCTTCCGACTTGTCTCATTTACCTCGAAAAACTCGCACACAATAAGAAATCAAATTTAGAGAGACACTTCACTAAAAAAACATACTCAGTTTGCTAGTAAATATCCAGCCGGCGAAGAACGAAAGAAAGCTGTCGACGAGCTCCAAAAACAAAAACAGCAATCAAGTTCCATGTTAAGTAACTGGACGCAATGTACAAGTAATGTCAATCTGGCAAGCTTCGCGGTATCATTAGAAATTGGAAAAAAAAAAAAAAAAAAAAAAAAAAAAAGGCAAACCATTCACAGATGGTGAGTATGTCAAAGATTGCTTCATACGTGCATCTGAAGAACTTTTTTGTGTTTCAAAAACAAACCAGAAGTCTTGAAAAAAATCAAAGATTTGCCACTATCCGCTATAACAGTACAAGATAGAATAGCTAAAATGTCTTCAAATGTAACATATTTGCAGGTGGAAGATATTCAGCTTTCTTCTGCCTTATCACTTGCTATAGATGAGTCTTGCGACATAAAAGACACGGCACAAGTTGCCCTTTTTGTCAGGTATATGTCTTCCCAAGATCCAAAAGCAGAATTTACAGGATTGCTACCGCTCTCGGGACAAAATAGAGGGGAACACATAGCGAATGCCGTGCAAAAATGCCTAGAAGACAATAAGATCGATTTAAATGAAATTGTTTCAGTAGCAACTGATGGAGCCAGAAGTATGACAGGAAAAAATTTAGGGGCAACAACGATTCTTCAGAGCAAAATAAACCACGAAATTGTTATGTTTCACTGCGTAATACACCAAGAAGCGCTTTGTGCCCAAACATTTCTGCCCGAAATAGTTGAGGTCATGAATTTGGTAATCAAGATTGTTAACAGCATCTTGTCAAAATAACTGTACCATCGTCAGTTTAAAGAATTCTTAAACGAAATGGAGACTTAATATTCCGACCTCCTTCTTCACAAGTAAAGTGCGATGCCTTTCCAAATGAAAGGTGTTGAAACGTTCTGCTTTGTACTTGGAATGAAATAAATACATTTCCTTAAATGAAAAAAGGCATTAATTCACCCTGAATTAGAGAATAACAAATGATTGCAAAAATTTTACTTTATGGTGGATGTCACAGCGAAATTAAATGAGCTGAATCTAAAATTGCAAGGAAAGGGAAACCCTAGCCTATGTTTTGGTAGAATAATTAGGTTTGTTTTGAAGAAAACATTAATTCTTTTTGCAATAAGATATTCAGAGCGGTAAATTACATTCATTCTTCAATTTCTAAGGCAACTATCGCCGATAAAACCAGTGCAACTGTTGACACGAATTACTTCAGCACAGTTACAAAAAAATTAAAGATGAATTTGCTGACAGATTTGAGCAATTCAAAAACAACAAAACCACTCTAGCATTCATAGTAAATCCTCTCAACACAAATAGTAACGAAATCCATATTGAACCATTTGGAATTGATACTGAATCTCTAGAAATGCAATTGATCGATTTAAAAAGTGAAGCTTTGTGGAGTGGAAAATTTAGTCTAAAAGCAAGTTGGAAGAGTTGGAGATCCAGAAATTAATGTACGTAATGCAACAAAAGTGGACAGTTTTAAAAGAAATGCCGCGAGTTGAGGCACTTATAATCGACACATGAAACAGTCTTCTAGATTGCTACAGTGAGGTAAAGAAGTTGGCATTTGGAGTGCTGACTATCTTCGGATCGACATATTCGTGCGAGCAAGCGTTCTCTTGCATGAATATAATTAAAAGTACAGTAGGAAGCCAACTAACAAATAAAAATTTAGAGTCGTGTTTGAAACTTAAAGCAATCGATTATGAGCCAAATTTATCCAAACTTTCTAAAACCATGGAAAGCCAATGCTCCCATTGAATTTGTTTGCACAATTGTTTTCCATTGAAGTACAAGTTAGTGTTGTAAGTAAATGTTTAATTGTTTCAATTTTTTACTTAAATAATAAATAATTATCTAATAATGCCATACATATATTATTTAATTTGTTGTGAAAAACACTATTTATATATGAATAAACGGATATTTTTCTTATGAATAAATAGATATTTTTCTTATGAATAAATAGATATTTTTTTTTCTTATGAATAAATAGATCAGTTTTTGTTTATCAAAAACTTTATTTAAGCGAGTACTATTTATTGCTGGAAAGAAAAAATTTGGTGGCTCTTTAAAAACTTTGAAATTTTGTAAACCATAATTTTTGACTCTTCCGACTCAAAAGGTTGCCGACCCCTGGTCTATACGATGTGTATCTTGCCTTTGACCAATAGATATTGAACATGAATTTATATCTTCCTGTTCCATACTTAAAGTATTTAAACACTCAAAATTGAAGTTACTAACTGCTGTGATAGCAGCTATTTCGAGTCTGTTTTCAGTACAAATGTTTCTCTGCGGCAGTTCTTTTAAATGACACTATGTAAACTTTCTTCAGCGTTTTGTGTTTCTCCAGATATGCATCTCCCTAAAAGTTCATTACTGGAGTCTTTGATACACTGGTAGTATTTTGGATAAAACATCTACTGTTAATTGTTTTTTATCATTGAATGAGATTTACGTTTCTTATTTTTGGGCAATGCTACTTGAGGGACAAAAAAAAAAAAAAAAAAAAAAAAAAAAAAAAAAAAAACATGATATGACACCTATTAGGCATTTATAATGTCTGGGTGAGTCATCCGTGGAAGAACAGTGAAACAAACTTAAATAAAGTTGCAGTCTTCATATCTTACACATTTAATATCTTACTAATAGTAAAAAGTATTAGTCACCGGAAATTAAAATATTACGTATCTTCAAATGTGTGTTTACCTTTTTACTGACATTTAAATGTCCCTTTAAATGTCACAAAAAAGGTAAACAAGCGTATTCAAATGCTTATAACATCTTTAAAAATAATTTTACAAACAAGCTGTTTTTTGTAGACGATAGAGTTTAAACCGTAAAATATTATCATACGAAATTTTTATTTCCCAATTTTTGGTCGATTTTTGCTAAAACCATCGTCTACTGTCCCCTTAATCAACGGATAGAACAGAATATACTGTATATTAGTTCAGGTTGTAAGGATAATTTTAATTTTATTAACAGTTAAATTTTAAGTTCCTTTCCTGTCAAATTCTTAACTTCAACTTACTACTTCCGGCCAGAACGTAGTTTTGGAATCTTGCAGAATATTTAATGAGGGGGAGCGGTATTTAAACTACGAAGTTACTTACAGAGGCAGAGAGAATCAGAGTTTCTGATTTATGCGCGTCTGCCTTTTTGGCCACTCTCTCTCTCAAAGCTGTTATTACGCTCGGCCGTACTCCGGCCCTTGCTAAGCTTCGTAGTCAAATAAGTTAAGGGGCCAACTCGATTTGAATCTTGATAGCTTCGGCTATATTTCTTTAGTTAATCTTAGTTTTAGTTTAATTCTTAGTCTCTTAAGTTCAAGCCCGAGTGTCGGCTTTGTTTGGCGAATCCCAGGCGAAGATTTTTTAAATATTATTGAAATAATAACGAGTTAGTTACCCTTCTATCTTGTTGTTTCTTGTCACCCAAACTTAAGCGATTATTCGCTTATTAGTTCTTAAGATTCTTCACTTCCAACATTAATTTAAAATTAAAGTAATTAAAGTGAGGAACTCTACAAGGTCCATGACTGTTATTATAAAATCACTATTGAATATGCAATTAATACAAGAAGATTTTCGCGTGAAACTGAATTTTGAATAAACTTAATGTATTGGTTATCATTCGCAGTCCTTACTTTGGAAGGTCTATCATTGAAAATACAGTGGAACCCTAGGTAAGATAACCGTCCACGGTTATAGACTATTTTACTCTTTTATGCAGTTAGTCGCCTTATAGTAGCGATTCCCAGTCTATGTACCACGGAGCCACAGCCAACGATACGATTTTATTATTGGTCGTGACGGAATCTAGTGAGCTCCGTGGTTGCTCCAGGAAATTAAAATAAATAAAAAAATAAATAAATAAAATCTGAAGGCTTTCAGATTTTACATTACACTCAAAGGGACGTTTTAACGTTTTGTGTGCTACCTTTATTTATTAAATATCATGTTCTTCGCACTTAAACAATAAAATTCCATTCAACAGCAATATCGCATGAGCATATCATTAGAGTTTCCGATACAATGGAGATAATTTTTTCTCGTACAGTATTGCCATTGCTGGCTTTGAAATCGTTGAGTTTGTTAATCAGAAATCCGTTAAAGTGTTACAAAATACGAAATCGATAATAAAACAAATTTCAAATTCCAAATTCGGGCTTCCAGATGCCCATATTTAGTGGAAGTTTACTTTATTCAAAATTGGATGGCTCTAGATACCGCCGTTTTATCACAATGCGAGAACCATACATACATTCGTGCAGATTCATTATTTAATTTCTTTAAATATAGCACAAGGCTCTAATATTTGGTGGCAACAGTTTGAAAAGTTAACCGACATTTATAGTGAACGAACGCAAAATGCCAAAACGAAATTAATAGCCCTTCTGGGCTAACGTCCTTTGGGCTAAAAACTGATGAAATTAAAGTAGAATCAAAATTTGAAAAAAAAAAAAAAAAGTAAGATTTTCATTTGAAAGGAAATTTGCTAAGTTCAGTATCGTATCTCCTCCAGCAGATGACGAGAAGGAGAGGTGTGATAATATTATTTATATAACGAAGCGTACAGAAATCGATGTTTTGGATCCCATAAAATGTTTTCTCCTCCTCAGGCCTTCAGCAGTAGAAATGGTCATTCATGCGACTGTTTCGCAAGAATTTCTAATCGAAACTTTCTTAGTATCTGATTTACAATCCTCTCATTTTGACTGACTGCTTCTCAATGATAAGTTATAAGGTATTTTCTTCCTCCTTCTCGCATGCCTTCGCAGTGTAAATAAAAGCAAGCTCGACCAGAACTCAAAAGAGATTTATTTAACCCTTTTTAATCCTGAGCTCGACGTGCATTTGGTAGGTCAAAAGTTCGAATCTTGGGAGAAAGTATTGTGGATATCTTCAGTTTCCGTACGTCTAAAAATCTCTGCAAAGTAAAGGTAAGGTAAAGTAACGTTGGTTTTGATACATATTTTAATATTTTGTATATAATAATAAAACGTTTGAATAACAGTAATTAAAAATTGCAATAATATAGTAATTAAAATTTGCAAAAATAATACAACGCTTGAATTATAATAATTTTAAAATAATTCCATAAATTGTGAGAACAAAGAGAAACGAATGTTTTATTAGTGTTACGAATTAAACGAATTGATTTGATTAAATTAAACGAATGTTTTAGTATACTGAACGTTTTATCATTGTGAAGAAAGTCTTGTGACTTCTTCCATGCCCTGTGACTTCCAGCCAAGAAGAATTGATAAAGCATTCTTTAATTACAAACGAGGATTCGACGTTTTTTCAGGACATAGTTTTTACAAATATGTAATTCCATGGATCTGAAGCCAATCATTCAACTGTCTTTATAACATCAATTAATACACCTTCATTTATTCGTCTAAGCCCAGATAGCAGTAATTCTAAAATAATTTGCTATAAATGATAATAGACTTGCTTTAAATAATACACTTCGTTAAAAAATAATCAAATTTTTTTATGAAAAGGGAAAAAATAGAGTAGGTAAAGAAAGCAAAATCTAAGTAACAGAGTTTCACATTAAAACAAATTCCAAATTTCAGTCAGTTATAATTAAATACTTTTAGTGATTCATGATAAGTTTACCAAAACAAAATCCCTCTTTTATTTTCCCGCTGGAGTGTAAATTTCAACACTTCTTGGGAGATGGTGGTTATGCGCATTTGGTTTGGTTCATTTGATTACGACAATGCACGCGAAGACTATCTGCCTGAAAGAAGGGAT